TTTACCCTGTGTATGCTGTTACATGGAATAAGGCCTGGTGAACCCAGAAGGAACAAAATCTTGACCAGCACTCATTTCCCCAAAGCTCCTGGTTGTTATAAGCATGCAGAGGAGCCAGCCCGCCCCTTTGTTGTATCCTAGTTCACCTGGGTCTTATAAGCCACTTAGGCATGAATAGACCCAATGCAGAGCCTGTGGGAAGTACTCATCATGTCCCCCTCCAAACTCAAACTTAACTTCACTGTGTTGTGAGGAAGGGCTGATTCCCATCCACTTCTGAAGCTTCAGGGACACAGGAACCTGAAATCCTGATGCACACATGCCCTGGGAGATCAGCACCAACCAAGAATCTAACCTGTCTAGGAGTTTTCATCCCTTATCAACCTGAGGAGGAAATGAGGATTAGACATTGGCAGGACCAAGGTCTTTCACTTCTTCATGGGAACAAATAAATGATCAGTTCTCAAAGACATAGACAAGATAATTTGGCTTTGAGAAATTTCTAAGTGCTATTAATCACTGACTGTAATAGAAAAATACTGATAGCATAGGCCTAATATGATTGACAGTGTACCTCTGGGTATCTACCAGGGCAAATAAGCTGCAAAATATATACCCATTTACTAAAAAGTTGGTGTGTTACAAGACATAGAGTTTCATTAAGAAATATTAAATACAAAGAAATTTTCCATTTTAGTGCACTAAAGTTTTAAGTTTTCTGATTTCATCACTTAATTACAACTAGTGCATAATTAAAGAGAGAATTATGGTCATAATAGAATTCTTAATAAAATTCCTAATAAAGCAATCATACAGGAGTACATTAAAAGCTAGATATGATAAAGTATTATTATGTATTAATATGTGTAGTAAAATAGTGACAGATACCTATATATTCACTCCATATTCTGTCTTAGAATCGCTAAAGAATTTTAGTTTTAACTTAGTTGGATGAAACACTGTTAAGTCAACTTGTTTTTCTTAACTTTCATGGGAGGAAAAACTGAATAATCAAAACAGTTTCTTAGCTTTAGAATATGGTAGTAGATTTTGGGAAGAAACAGTTTTTTCCTAGTTATATTTAATTAGAAGCTCTCATTTCCTGCCATACATTAATGAAAGGCTGGAGACAGCCTTGGTAGGTACTAGATGTGAGGGGAGAGTCAGTTTGAGATTAAGGATTCACTGTTAGGTGATTTATATCTGGATAATCTAGAGTTGACTAAATTTTAAACCTCATTTGGTCAATATCTCCTTAACCATTCTTTAAAAGCAATGATTTTCAACTGGTGCTAAGAATTTTTAAAACATGCAATACGTGATATTTAGTCAGGGGCACTGACCTCTTTTTCCTTAGACTGTTAAATTAAAAAATGACAACAGGCAATACAACACTAGTCATCTGGTGTGAATGAATCAAAATTATACTTATCTTTTTGAAACATCGGCAAAAAATATATTTTTTGGTGTGCTGCAGAATTTTAGTAATTAGTTGGTGTGTGCCATGAGATGAAAAAAACTGAAAATTGCTGCTGTAGATTAATGGTATAAATTCTTCAAAACTGACATTGTTTTCCTATTGTAACAGTAGATCACAAGGTTAGGGTTGCCTTTTGTAGATATTGTCTTATTCTGAAGTTTTAGGAAATATGTCATCACAGTTTAAATTTGTGCTAATGTACACAAAGGAGGAAACAACTGGGAATTTCTGGATTTAGGCTTACTTTGCCAAAAACAATGTTATTTTTCAGAATCTTTAGCCTTGTTTTCATAAATCAGAGTTCTCAAAATCAGTTTCTATGAAAGATCCCTAAATGGTCAAAGGTGTATGTTGCTAAATTGGTGAAAAACTTCATGGATAAATTTCTCTGATATAAACTTCCTGACACCCAAAATATTGTTTTAAAGCTTAGTACCTCCTATTTTACTTCAGTGTTAAGATTTTGTCATACTTGGTAATTATCTGCCGTACGTTTGCATTTCAACAAATAGTAAATAATAGAAAAACACAAACTGCAACTCATATTTAGTTGTATTTTTTTTAATGTATGTGGGTATTTAGAGTTGATTTTATATTATATACACCTACTGTGGTAATAATTTCTACTGGGTGGTAGTTCAAGGTCCTTTGTCCCTTGGATTGAAGTTTAAAATAATTGATGAATGAAAAAAGATTTATTGTATCTTGGTATTTAGGTATGGCCAGGAATTAAGACACTTTCATGTATAGTTCTATTTCCTAAATAAGGCAGAATTGTTTTTGAAACAGTAAAATTGAGGGAAGAGAACATAAGTTACAAAGAAATAATATGTAGATTCGCTAAATGTTCTTTTCTCTAATTTTGTGTTAAAGTCTGATGAATTCCACAGCTTTAACACTTACTGTACAGAGTAGTGGATTAGAAGTTGGAATCATCCAAATTCCTACTCAAAATGCTATTCATGGGATCTATTGTCCTGTATGTTGGTGTTATAAATGTAGAGAGCTGAATAGTTGTCTATGAATAGTGTTTGTCAGGCTAATACTGTCTTTTTTGACAAGAAGTAGAGTGTCAGGACGGACCTTTCCCTTCCATGCAGGTACCTGGCATTTGTCACCTGAAAGGAGGTGCGTGTGTCGTGTACTCTGTGCTTAAGAGGCTCTGTAACTGCCGTCTGAGTCACGTGGTAACTGCATCAGTTATCTTAACCCGAAGCATTTTATTGTTTCTTTTCCAAAGGTTGTGATTGGCCTAACGTTGGGGCATTTTTATATTCCTTTACAGTAAATTAAACTATACACCAGATGATAGGCATACGTTTGGATCGTAAGTGGTCTCAGGTCCTCAGCGTTTCTTATCCCTTATTCTCTTTCACATGGTCGAAAGCCCAGGATTGACTCCAAATCTGTAATCCTGTGTTTCGCAGGCAAGGAGTGATCCCTGAATCATTTAGTTTCTCTGGCTTATATTAGTGTCAGTTTCATGAAATCATGAGAGTGCTTATTATTTTTAACTGTGCCTAATATTACTGAGAACCCTCAGTAAAGTGCACGGTGTCACTGAGAAGCCTCAAATGAATGTAAGCAGCCGTTCTCAGGCAAGTGGCAGGGGAGGGGTCTAGGTTTGTGAATTGCAGCTGAGTGGGTTCGCTAGTAACATTGCACATATTTACTCCTGTGGCTGTTTTAGACTGGCTGTAGAGAAAACAGATTAAATGGGACAGAATCTTCTATATTATGTGCTAATAATGAATCTTATTTTAGTTGATTCTTACAGTGGAGTTTATACCACAAAAAAATATATGAATGACATTTATTTTTAGCAACTTTCATAAAAATCATGGTGATGGTTGCCTGTGAACATTTCCTTATGTGTCAATAAAGAATAGACCCCAGAAACTTCCTGGAAATAATCTATTCCAGGTTTAACTTTGCTTTGATTTAAAATGCAGTTTTGTATAGTTTTAAAATACAAATGCTAAAATAAGGGACATTGGTTAAAACTTCATGCTAAAAGTTTTATTAATGGATGTACATATTGATAGCCTAAAATTTACTAAATCTATATGTGTCAAGGCTATGTGCTAAGTAGGAGAAATGTGACCCAACTTTAAGATATAAAATGAAAATAAACTATACAGAACTGTTTGGCTGCTTGGTACTAATATACCTACTTATAAAATAATGATGTTTGCTATTCTTTATCGAGTTATTTTACCTTTGTTTAAAGTCATTTAGTATATTTTTCTTGACAAATTTGATTATTCAGTATTTGCAATTAGAGTATTAAAGAAACGGTATCCTTTTATAATTTTACCTTCTCATATATAACCATTGTTTTAAGTAGTTTTCTTTAACGTGTGATCTATCTAGAATCTAATTTTTAGTTTATGTTTTGATTTACTTTCAGCTTTTTGCTTAGATTGTACCTGATATAATTCATTATTCTCTTTTAAGAAATGTATCAACATCAAGGTATGGTGAATTCTTTTGAAGTTACCCATAACAGTAAAAAGAAAAACAGTAATTTCTTATAAACCTAACCAACATGAAAAAAAACCATCTGTAACAAGTAACTGTAATGTGTACCTTTAAAGATACAGAGCAGTCATTCTGGATTGATCATTAAATTACTCATTAAATTGATCAGTAGAATTTTTTCTTCTGGTTATTACCCAAAAGAAGGCTCCATCCACCTAATCTTAAATTATATAAATAAATACACAAATGGAAAGTTAAAGTCAATTTTTATGCTTTAAAGAGGGAAGATGTTAATCCAAAAGAGAAATAATAAAAGTCACCTTTTCCCTTACCTCTAGGATCTCTAGGCTGGTCGAACCCTGACCATTATTACGTTTCAAGTTTCTTCCATTTACTTTCATTAAACTGGGTTATTTATGTATCTTCAATTGAAATGGCTGAGCTTTCAGGGTAATTCTTGTTGCTATTGACAACCAAAGCAGCCATGCAAGAAGAAAATGCTGTGGAAAGAAAAAAAAAAAACCTTATTATTTCTTTCCCCAAAGTTGAAGAGAAAAGGGAACACACAGTATGTAAGAAACAGGTAAGTAAAGATATATCAATTTAAAAGCTAACCTCACTGGTTACTAATTGATCAAAAGTTTTAATTTTTTTCAGATACTTTGTTCAACATTCATTTAAATAAAAGGATACTGTCTCTTGGAACCAAAAATTAATGTTCTGAAAATGAAAAATTGAATTAGAAGGTACAGTGTTTCAGAAGGTCTAAAATATTTTATTTTAGAATTTGGACTATGAAAGAATAGCACAACTCAATTATTGGTTAATATTTTTGTTACAAAATGTTTTCTAATGACAAAATGGTGACTAAAATATAACTATTTTAAACATGTCCTAGATTTTTTTTTTGTTTCAGAAAAACACTGAAAGTTGAATATGTGTAAGTCTCCGGGAATGTAACAAGTTGATAAATACCCAAGTCCCGCCTCCTTACAGAGAAAAGATCTGGAATTTCTTTTTTTGGACATTTGTTTTGCAGCTTTCTACGTCTTAAGGCAGAGAATAGCCAGGATAAGGTGCCAGCTCAAAGGTTAGATGAATATATTTCTTGAAATAATTTTGGCTAATATGTGCTTGAAAGGCATAACTTCTAAATAATAACTTCACAAAATTAATAAAATTTAACATTAGTTGTGTTTTTCTTTAATTGCTTTTTTGGGGGAAAATGATATTCCTTAGAGATTTTTTCTGTTCATAATTATACTAAGTTAATTTTATTTCAGTTATTATGTTAAACTTTTCCCTTTCAGTTTGTAATTTCTCTTCTTTTATGAATCTAATAAATTGACCTCCATTCTAACCTAAAGGACAGTTTATATTTTTAATACTTAAAGAAGCAAGTAAAAAATAAAAATACCAAAGTTCACCAAGTGAAATTACTAACACCAGCCTATCATTAACCTGAGGGAATTGTATTCATATTAATTCTTCATGGAAAAATTAAGGTAAGAAATATTTTTATTGTATAAAAGATAAAAGATGTTATAGTAGCACCTAGAGTATTCATGCTATTCTTTTGTTATATAAAGGGTTCCTTGTTTAAACTATTTCTGGAAGTGAATGATGTCACTTTACAAATCACCCTAATGACACTTCTGTGGAAAATTTTGGTGAAATATGTGAATTCTATTTAATGAAATTGGTGCCAAGAAGACAACATACTTTAACCTGATACATGAAAGAGAGGACTTTAATAACAACATTTGGGAACAAAAATTGATGGTGTTAGAAATAGAAGTTAAGGGATTTCTTCAGGGAGACTTAAGAAAATCAAAGCATATGTATCTTATAATTACAACAGTTACAGAATTAACTAGCAGAGCTATGGCTGAGTTAGGGAGGCAGAGCCATAGAGAGTAGAATGCGGGCTTTGTCACCAGCAGATCTGGGTACAGGACCCGTTCTTGTCACTACCCATGAGATACTAGATATTTTATTTAACTTTCCTGAGCCCCAATTTCCTTGTTCTTTAAACCTGCTTTTCAAGATTGTTGCTAGCAGTGCTTAACTCCTAAAGAACAGTTCTTGGTAAATGTTTGCTCTTATAACTGTGTGGTCAATACAGAGAATACAAATGAACTCTGAACGGTGTTTACTAGGGTCCACTGCATTATCCATAGTGTAGCATGTTTTTTAAATACATTTTGTTTACCCTGCCCATCTTTTGAAAATAATTAACTGGAAATAAAAAACTTCTCAAAATTACTCATTTCTAAAATGAAAACTTTCATTGAATGGCTGTCTGTGCTTTTGAACCATTCCTTTTCCACTTCTCTAATATCCATTTGCAAACCTCAGAGTGGAGTACGGTTTTGGTTACCTAACCCAAGGTAAAGGAACTGAAGGAACTAGGATTGAACTGCAGAATTTCATTTAGAGTTACTACGATTTATTTGACACACTCTTATCTGAAAAACCTAAAGTTGCTTTTAGAGTTACTGTGATTTATTTGGCAAACGTTTGAGAGCTTACTAGAGACAAGGAATTAAGGTAGGTGCGAGGAGAGATACAAAGGTTAGTAAAACGTGAACTCTTGTTTGCAAGGAGCTGATTTAGTAAGATGGTTGTCTCACTCCTTCCAGTATTCTAAAGTAGGGAAGAGTTGGGGATGAAGAGTTGAGGCTGTTCAGAGGCAGAATCACTTCCAGCTGGAGAGGATCAAGGAAGATTGCATACTCCTAGTGGTATTCAGTTGATTTATTCACTCAACAGATACATCTTGAGTGCTGTTACCTGCCTGATCCTGGGCCAACCACTACAGACACCACATCAATAAGATGAAGCTGTGGGCATTCATGTCACTTATGGTCAGCGTTGAAGGCCCACACATGATGACAATGCTGATGAGAGGTGTGTTTCGGTACAGGTGTGTTTTGAGATAGGCCACTGCGAGAGCATATCTCGGGGGCGGTATCCCAGACCAGGAGTGAAAACTGGTGGGCCAGCGAAGTCCTGAGGGATAAGTCCAGTGAAGAGCACCTTAGCCAGACAGAAAAATGCATTGAAACTTCTGGACCCAGAGTGAGGGGCACATTCCCGGAAATGTGAGACCTCTAATCTAGCATTAGAGCATGTGTTTGCAGGGCGTCTGATGAGAAATGCTGTGGGAGAAGTAGGGGATGGGTTGACTAAGGGAAGGCCTCTGATGGGACCTTAGGTAGGCTAGTCTTTATCCCAGAATTGTAGAGTAAGGGACATTACATAATCAAATTTATATGTCAGAGGTTATAAGCTGGGGCTCATGAGTCAGATCTGGCATAGAGGTGGATTTGTTTCACTCACGGAGGGTTTTAACAGTTTTTGAAATAGATGTCAGGGTACATATCAGGCTTTGTGAAATGTCACAGTGAGGAGCTGGGCTGGAGTCGCTTAGCAGCTGCCCCATTGGGAAGGGGCATGTACTTCATTTTACTGTGCGGCTCGCGTCTTCAGGAAAAATGGCTGGGACCTGTAGGCCTTTGAGGTCGTGGGGTACATTTCTGAATGTTTTCTTGAGTGGTAATTTAGAGAAGAGCCTTTTGAGACTCAGGGCTAGAGGTCATTACAGTCAATTTGCTGAGAAATTAGGTTTTATCTTAAGTAGTAGTGGTGGGAACAGAGAGCAGGAAAATGACTGAAAGTTACTAGAGACAAAGGATGGAAAGGCATGTATATGTCAGGACAGTGGTGGGAGTGTGGACTTCGGAGACCAAGCGACCTGGCTGCTACCGGCAACTGTGTTTTGGAGAAACTTACGCAACCTTTCTGAACAACAGCTTCTTTTTTGGTAAAATGTAGATAAGAAGCCTATCTCATAGGGCCTTTTTTAAAAAAAATGAGGATCCACTGAGAAAATACTTACAAAGCATTTAGTTCAGTAGCTGGCTCCTCTTAGTTCACGTTCAGTTGTGAACTAAGTTGTGGCAGTGATGGTTGTGGAGTGAGGAAGGTGGAATCAAGGATGATGTCGAAGTTTCCGGTGTGTTACTGGGTGAGTTAGAGAACATAGGAGAAAGTGCAGATGCTGACTTCAGGGTTGGATGTGGTATGTTTGAAGTGCTCTGCGACTGTGAAGGGGAGAGGTTGATACATGATTGGGTTCAATGCCAAAGTGAATAATTGTTAGGAATGAATGACCACATTTTTTTTTTTGAAGCTTATATTCTCTTTTAACTGAATGTATTGAAAATCAGCCCTGACTCAAGTCGCATCTGAAATGCCACCTTTTCTTCTCTCCATGCCATACTTCTTCAGGAGGAAGTCTCCTCTCCTTTCTCTACATTTAGCTATGACATAACGTGGAGCCTGTCTCGTGCTGCTCTACAGTGTGGTTATTTGTGGATCTGTGGCATTTGTTCTGCTAGACTGAGAGTTCGTGAAGCTGGGGGCTGTGTCCTACACATCTTTATATCCAACGTGATAACTTCCGCAATGCCTAGTCCAGTTTACTATACTTTGGAAGGTAGAAGGACCATGCGTACAGCTTCTTTATAAAAGGGATAAAAAAGATGAAGATACACTCTTAATGAACAGCTTGTGCTTTTCAGAACAGATAATATATTGGGAAAATGAATACAGTGAGTTTGTCTATCTTATGGCCTTATTACATATCATAGATCTTAATCTTGATTAAGATTCTAAAAAAAAGTCAACTTACATGCTTGAAATACATGGAATGTAATCCGATTGTGTCATTTATTGCTTGTAATCCATTGGTTGTTCACAAGTATGGTTATATTCCTAATTCTCTGAGTATGCTGTCCAGGCTGACAACTGCCTTATCATTGAAGGACTATTGTTTGCGATATGGACCCAGTCAAAGGGACTGCCATTGTATTCCCAGATGCTCTGCTGCTGCATCCCCTTCTGCTCACCCTGAATAAAAGGCCCTCCACCCATCCACATGGCGAGTTTTTGCTCATCCTTTAAGATTCAGCTCATACTTCCATTGGCAAGCCTTTCCTGACATTTTCCCTACTTCCTTCTCTTTACAGAGAAACTCCTTCTATATTCTTTAAACACCTTGTATACCTGCCATATTTGTCTTCGTCAAGAGTCTGTACACTATTTTAGAGCAGGGACTGTGTACTTAAAGAGCTCAAGGTCTAGTGAGGGAGCTGGCTAAGAAAAATAACTATGATAACATGGCATGGTGTATATATATATGTATATATATACACATACATACATACATGAATGAAAACATATGAATAATTTGTGATAGAGGTATACACAGAGGCTTATGGAAGCACTGAGGGAGGACTCCAAACTCAATGCAGGACAAACACAAATATTAGAGATGGTAATATTAACTGAATATTTAGCCTATCTAGGCGTTAGGCAGACAAGGAGAAGAACAGCAAGCATTCTTTGTGCAAGTATGGAGGTATCAGAGAGTGTTATTTCTTGAGAACTTCAGTTTTTTTGGTGTGTTTGTAGATGTGATTGGAGCCGAGCCTGGTGGGGAAGGCAGGACTCAGATCATGAAACGCAGTGTTGAATGCCATGCTGAGACATTGATCTTGAATGATGAGCTGAGTAAACTTGGCGAAGAGTGTGTGAGGGTAAGGAGGAGGATGGCATGGTGAAATCATGGTCACCCGAATTCCTTTGCTAGTAGTCTGGGCCTGTTGATGTCCGCAGTACGGGAAGCAGGAAGGCCATCATGCCATCGTTTATTTAACCAGTCCTGTATTGATGGACATTTAGGTGGTTTCCAGGTTTTTATTTAAGGTTCTTGATAAGATAAATTTGAAACGCTTAATGAATTAATGTTTTCTTTAAAAAAAACGAAACAGTGAACCAAACTGACAATTGCTTCACATCATACAAGTCTATGCACAGTCAGAAATGATTCTGTTTTTAAAACAGTTAATATATGGCTCAGTTCATTATATCAGTGACTCTTTTAAACATAGAGATTTTGGTGGCTGCAAGAAGTAATGATGGTCACATTGGAATTTTCCTGGTCTTTTGTGATGATTGCCCAGTAAACCTGCACAGAATTGGAGCATCATCCTTCAGCTGAAACAAATATGATAACTTTTAACT